TGAAGCCGACATTCCATAGGCCAGATCGGCCACGGATCTCTGGAGGTCACCAATCATTCCCATCAACTCGAATGTAGTGGGCTCGCGAGCCTGATACAACTGGGGAGTCCAGATCGAGTGCGCGACAGGCGACCTGGGCGGATGCGGTATATCAACATTGGCTTCATCCTGCAGGGTGATCCCTTGATCCAGCGTAGCCGTCATAACCACAATCTCTTCTGAATTCTGCGTCATCATAAGTCCTACCTCAGCAAGGGGGAACACTAGCTATTCTGTATCAATTCTCTGGACACTCTGAACTGAAAGGAAAAACAAACAGCATTTCAGTCCAAACAGATCAATCACAGGTGTAGCCGAACAACTGCACTCTATTACTGATCACTGTTCCCCAGAATCACTGTTCCCAAAACTGAACTTGATACCCGCAGATAACTGATTTCTCAACAACACTGATACTGGTGCCCTCGGGCCTGATACTTAAACTTGCAAACTGATATGTAAGTTCCTGTAGAAATACACTCCTAAAGGACATAGCAGATAAGTGAGAGCCAAAACACCCCTATAGAGGGGTAGGGTTTCCCTGTCCTATTTTGTCAGGAGCTAGGGTTTTTACTATGCACGCAGTGGTTTCAAACAACCTATAATCGGGTAAGCAACCTGTCCTAGCTTGGAATGGTCACTATGGATCCGAATATGCACTAGGTCAAATGGTCGAAAAGGGTGCCCCGGTAAAACCAGGGTTTGTGTTCCCATACTGTCAAAGCCCACAACCGGTCAGCCTTATGGTCATGCCTTGACAAGACAAGCCTCCAGCAAACCGTTCAGGAATGGCAGATGGCAAACACTGTGTTCCTAGGCGCACCAATGCACATGCAATGCAAAGAAACACATAAATGAAATCAAAACCGGATATCACGAGTTCGAGTTAAGCTCTCTAATTTCCCCAGCAGAGTCGCCAGAAACTGTAGCACGTCCGCAAGGGACCCTCGCTACAGTTCGGACTCGATTCGTGTCACGGTTCTTAATCTGAACCAAAGAGTCCAAATCCGACAAATCGTTTTGAGAAACAGATTTTTTGAAAAGAAGTGCCAAACATGGACTGCCTTGCCAGATACAGAGTCGCCACCTAAATATTTTATTTTTGGGAGAATTTAGGAAACCCTGACTCGGTGCCAAAGGCCACGTGTCCGTCATCACCAAAGTTGCTTCGGCTCGGGAACTTGGGTACGAATAGGGAAGGTCACTTCGTGAGCACCCCCGCCCGCCC